AAACGTATTAAAACCATCATATACCATTCGACTCAGCTCGACGAGATCGGAACATGTCTGTGTGTGTGTGTGTACGTGTGTATGTGTGTATGTGTGACACATTGTGTGTATGTGTGTGTGTATGTAACGAAATGAATGCGCTCACGTTTCTCAGCAACCGCTTAACCGATTTGGACAAACTCGGCGCCAAATGATAGGTCTTGGGGTCCCATTGAACGCTATTGAACGGTTTTGGAATCGGTGAACCGGTTCTGGAGATATGGCCGAAATAAGATCCGGTGAATATGGGCCTTCACGCTGGATTTAACGGAAAACGTATCAAAACCATCATGCGACACATCAAATTACTACATAATTCAAAAATAAGATCAATGCAAGTCGTGTTAAGTGTTCCAGACCACATTGGACACACTTGGACATGTGCCGGGTACCCCGGGGAAGTTGCTTGAATATGAATTGAATTAAAACCCATTAAATCACATTAAAATACGATGATAAGGTGATTGGTAGCCTCACCAAATAGACTACACCCGGATATATTCCGGGTACCCCCAGGCAGTGGCGTAGCGTCACTGGATGACACGGGGGTGGGGGGCTTGGTCACTGATAATGACAATAAAATAAATAAACTTGAATAAGTAAGAAGGGTCTGATCACACCATAGGTGGATAAATTCGGGTTTTTTTTCCTCGGTTTGCTGTTTTGTACTATGGGACGGATTTGTCAAGAGTATATGGGAATCTGAAAATTATTTGGGGAGGGGCAAAAGTGTCCTGAGAACAATTTCATGTGAATTTTGAGAAGAACCCCGTACAGCAAGCGCGCGAAGGAGGTATAAGACGAGGAAGTGAACGTCGACCGAGGACAAGCGGTCGACGATCGAAGACACGTGGTGGAGGTGTTGCGAGGGGCCTCGACGAAGAAAACAGGTCAGATAGATTGTAAGAAAGTGGGAGAATAAGGGAGTAATTAGAGAAACAAAAGAGGGAGAATAAAAGTTGTCAGGAAAGTGAAATAAATCTTTAATCTTGAGTAGTGCAGTGCTTGTGGAGTTTTTTGTGTGCCACGTGCGATCATTCCCTACCCCGCGTAATTGCAATCGGTAAGCGTGCCGACCCTGAGTCCATTGGAGTCAGGGAGTTTCGGAAGTGCTCCTGACTGAGGTGGCTGACACTTACAAATTCTAGGACTAATCATTAACAATTCGAAGAGAATACCAATGCATAAATGCATGGTTGATGTCCAAGTTCATTTTACGTTCTTTATTATTTTTCAAACAATTCAGGCATAACATTTGATAACGGCACAAAAGCATTTGTAAACAAACTTTCTAAGACCCTTTACACGCGAACCAAAGTACGCCCACGCAAACTAAAAACAACATCGGATAGGGGCAACTATCACCTATCCGAAAGTGGTATTGGTTTGCGTGAGCGTACTTTTGTTCGCGTGTAAAGGGCCTTATAAAGTTTATTTACAAATGCTTTTGTGCCGTTATCAAATGTTATGCCTGAATTAACACATTTCAATACAGTTGACGTACACTCCGACGTTTTATGTTGTTGGCTGCACCTGGAGCATCTCTCACATTTTTTGCAATCCATGCTCTTGTGCCCAAATTCTCCACATTTGAAGCATCTCAGCACATAAATCGCGCGAACTATCGAGCACCGATCAAACCCTACATTAAATTTTTTCGCATATAACAAAGATTTATACATATCGAGATCGACTTCAATTACAACACTAATCTTGTTATAAGTGAAGCGTGGATTTTCAAACATGTTAACTACTTTTACATCATTTATAGCGATGTCTTCATTTTGACTTTTTTTTTCGGAAGAATACTGATCGCTCATGCCCACTATTTTCAACTTTGGCACCGAAGTGGGAACAACAGCACTATATTTTTCACCCAGATTGCTCTCAATACCAGTTTTTACATCATTTAGATTAGCTCATGTTGCACACTCAACAATAATAGAGCCATCTTTACCATTCCTAAAAATACTGATTTTGTGTGTTTTTGGATCTAACTGTGTTTTCAAAAACTTACGAGTATCTTTGCAAGCTTGAACTCTTTTGGTTTAATCATAATGACCGGACGATTCTTACGATTGCTCTGTTTGTTACTGTTACTAATATTTTTACTATAGTAGCACGACTATGTCTTTTTACAACATCCACAAAACTAGGTAAACTGACAACTTCTAAAATTAGCTACGTGGGCTTACCCCAAGGTTCATGTTTAAGTCCCTTACTTTATAATTTCTATGTCAAAGATATTGATAACTGCTTAGATAATCAATGCACGCTTGGACAGCTTGTAGACGATGCTGTGGTTTCCCTGAGAAGTTTACGTGCGGAAATCTTGCAACCATTGCAAAATTCCCTAAATAACCTGTCTTTCTGGGCAAGAAATTTAGGGATCGAGTTTTCACAGCAAAAAACTGAATTGGTAGTGTTTACAAGGAAGCAGTTTCCAGTCCAACTGCGTCTAAATCTTTTGGGCAGAGACATTACCCAATTTTTAACCTTCAAATACCTTGGAGTCTGGTTTGATTCAAAATGCACTAAGTATTTGAAACAAAAGTGTCAACAAAGGATCAACTTTCTACGATTAATTACCGGGACATGGTGGGCTTGCTCACCCGGAAGACCTAATTAAACTGTATAAAACGACTATTCTTTCAGTTCTTGAGTATGGCTCTTTTTACCCCTGCAGAACCTTTTCTGGGAGCTCTCATTAAGAATATTGATTAAATGTAGTGTCAGTAACAACCTTGTGATTGAAAACTTCGAAGAAATGCACGAATTGAGCATCCTATCTAGATTCGTGCGAATCTATCTTAATTATATGTCATCGGATATTAGCCTTCCGTGCTATAACCTCCCTCGTGTATGCTTTACTAACTACAGTTCTCCCATTGACTATGATCTCTCAATGAAACAGGCTATTCAAGGAGTTCCAGATCAACTTCGACCTATCTCAATTCCCCGTATTTTTGCTGAAAAGTACCAACAAGTCAATTGCAATAGAAGATTTTTCACTGATGGATCACGCATTGATGGATCCACTGGCTTCGGTGTCTTCAATGAATACTCAACCGCCTTTCGGAAACTTTAGGAACCTTGTTCCGTTTATGTTGCTGAGCTAGCAGCAGTCAACTTCGCATTGGGGATGGTTTCCGACATACCCATAGACCATTACTTCATCTTCTCGGATAGTCTCAGTTCGATTGAGGCTATTCGGTCGATGAAACAAAGTAGGCACTCATATTATTTCCTTTCAAAGGTAATAGAGCAGATGAGTTTGCTGGTCGAAAGATCATATATGGGTCCCCTCACATTGCTCAATCCCAGGCAATGAGAAGGCAGACTCTCTCGCAAAGGTGGGCGCACAACAAGGCGAGATTTATGATAGAAGAATTTCACATGATGAATTTTTCCCATTAGTACGTCAGAGTTCTCTTTTAAGTTGGCAAAACGATTGGACAAGTAATTCTCTTGGGCGGTGTTCCATTATTCCAAATGTTTCTTCGAGAGCGTGGTTCAAAGGCCTGGACGTAAGCCGGGGATTCATTCGCGTGATGTCAAGACTTATGTCAAAACACTACTCGCTAGACGCATATCTCTACAGAATAAACCTCGTTGACAGCAATATATGTAGGTGTAGAACCGGTTATGATGACGGCCCTTATTACGGGTGTCACTTCACGGTGAAAACGAAGTGAAGTGATCAGCTGTCACTAACGGTGAAGTGATTGCCGTGTAAATCAAATGAGAATCACTTCACCGTGAGTGACAAGTTGTCACTTCACCGTGAAGTGACATCGGTAATAAGGGCCGACACCGATCACGCAGTTTGGTATTGCCCGGGTAATGACGCCTCCAGAGCACGACTGTTGGATACCCTAGTGGCCCGAGGTAGACAACCCTTCCGTGAAGTAAGAGATGTATTGGGAACCCGTGATCTTCCCTACATGCAGGTGATCTACGAATTCCTTTGTATGTCTGATGTTAGAGTCTGATGTGACCATCCCCTCCTTTCCAAACAACTTCCAGTTATTGTGTCCCAGTCTTAATATCCTCCTGTTTCTGTGCTACTTGCCTCTGCCCAGCCAGGATTTGGTCAACCGTCCGAGAGTAGTATCTGAAGGAGGCTTCAGAAACCAGTTTCCTACCTAGCTCCTTCCAATCGAAATTGTTACCAATTAACCTCGAGCCCGCCACGAGTAAATGGTACCCAATACTAACCTAGAACTACTGCTGTTTAAAATGTAAATTCAAACATAACTGATCAAAGTGTCACACACGACTGAGCCTAGTAAATAAACGAACTAGTTAAAAAAAAACATTAGGTTGCCACCAAACGACGTATAATAACTTTGACTCAAAACCAGTATTTTTTAGCATGATCTGCGTTGTATGATTAAAACCCTGTGTAATATGTTAAACATTGCTATCACTATGAGATTATATGTGTTTAATTGGAAATATGAACAACTTTTCGGTCATCAAAAGAAAACATTATTTTTCTCGGATCGGTGCGAATGTTACTTTCAACATAATGAAAATTTGCTCTTGAATTGTAGTATTTTATTAATCCGAAATAAAATAAATGATTCGATCAGTAAAAATATTCCGTAATTCACGAATAGTTAGCTATATATTTCCCTATGTAAGAAGAGTGCAGATATTTAAGTTCAAGAGACATGCTAACATTGTTATAAATTATGTAAAATGTTACGATAACAGGCAATGGCAAATGCGCATTTAGAAAATGAATAATTGATATACATAATATCATCAACCAGTATGGGATATGGTATACTGAAACAATCGACTGTTGATTAAGTTAATAGACAAATTTCAGAGGAGATGGTGGTGTATTTAATACATGCTATGTATATAATAATAAGGTTTATTTTTTATATTCTATATACGACATATTTTTAAGCATAGCCTATAATCAATTTTTTTTTCCTCTTATCTCATAGAACAACCACCATTGCCTAATGGAGCTACGCAAAAAGATGCTGATCTTTACAAGCAGGTGCGCGATCAGGCTGCAAATTCTGTAGCAGAACTGATGCGACTCGATGCCAAAGTATTCACGAAAGATGTCACCCCAGAGCCCAACGCGTCGCCAACAAAGAAAACGTTACTTGCCAATACGCTTCAATCCCCGTCCAAGTTCATGGCTGCCCAGGAAAGATGTCCCGCGGCAATAGAATTTGGCAAATATGAAATTCAAACTTGGTATTCTAGTCCGTTTCCTCAGGAATACGCTAGGTAAGATGAAAAAATCGCTTTTTTCTTACACTCTCTAAAAAATGGCAAAATGTATACAACAATAATATTACGACATAAATCACTGCTAATTCGTTTTTTTGCTAACTTTTTTTAATTGATTAAGATTTTTAGCACAATGGCTTTTTTAGCTAACTGATTTAAACTTGAAGCGTGCTTAACCCCACTGTAATAGGGCATGTCACGGTAAAATTAATGTTGCTATTAGGAAAACACAAGCCTGTTTAATGTAGGGGAACTAGGGGCAAGAAGGTCACCCTGACGCGTTTTTATATGCGATTCCGTGAATATTTAAAGGAGTTTGTGAAACGAATTGTAAGTTTATAACCATGTCTCCCATGTATCATCATTGAAATTAAAATCAATATTGACGTCCTAATCAAGGGGGGCGACACATCTAAATCTTAATTCCAGATACTCAGCAAATCTCACACTAGCGAATTAATACTCGGAAAATCATCTTTAATTTATCGCATCTACTTGCATTGTGCATCATATTTTTGAAGAAAATCTTCAGAATCGTCATCAATCTTCTTTCTATCTACGCAGCGTGCGCGCAGCTAACCACAGCAAAACACATTTTTCCTGCATTGTAGATAGAGTCGCCCCCTCGGTCTCAATGCAGAAATTGTGAAAAAAAGAAATAAGTTGGAAATTCCGAAAACCTTATTTTATGATGCCTTATTCTTAGGCTAACTTTTCAATACATCAACACAACATGATTCTTTTGCATTTTTTACGACTTCGATTCGGACAGAACTTTTTAGAATGCTTCATAGGAATACCATGCATAGATTCATGGTGACATAGGATTGAAATGTTTTCATTTTCAAAATATATCGAGGGTGACACTCTTGCCCCGGGTGACCTTCTTGCCTCTAGTTCCCCTACTTACAGAGAAAAATAGAAAGTATGATGTATTATTACAGAAACTGTTAAAGATTGACATGTATCGTAAATCCACTATGCGTCCATGTTTTAATAGCATGCTCAGTAAATGCTTTATAAACGTATGGGTTAATTATTCGACATCACTGGTTTAGCCTAAAGGAAAAATCTGCTAAAATTATTATTTTCGTGCTAGTTAAATTCGGGCATGTGTTACATTCGGGCTAATGGTATTCAGGCTTGTGTTATAAACCTGCTCAAATCCCGTCAAAAGTAGGGTAAGGTGGGGCAGGATGGGTCATCCACTTGTTTTTTTTTTTGTCAACAGGCTTAATGTAGCCCAATGTTGGTTTGAAAAAAATAAACCATTCAACCATCATTAGGGTTGCGTTGAACCTTTTGATTTTGACAAACAAATACATTAATAAATGTATTAGCTGACCCATTTTGGCCCATCTTACCCTACACTGAAGTAAATAAACTTAAGAATATCATATGGCTCGACTTCTGAACTACACATATGGATTTTCATGATTGTGACTTATGAATGATTTTCGTCTAACTTTGAGGTAGCTCTTTTACGCCTTTAACAGTTTAATTTTCCCAAGCGTTGAAAGATAGTGGCAAAACACGGCCCCGTATTCTCAACGTCCATGGTTTGGTTACAGTCTCTCCATTTTATAATTTTTGTGTCAACATTATTTTTCATATAGCCGGCGCCAGTGGTGTAGTGGTAAGCGTGACTGCTTTCTCACCCCAATGGATCTGGATTCAATCCCAGCCGAGGTCGGTGGGATTTTTCAGAGGCATAAAAATCTCTGGTCACGTCTTCCTTCGGAAGGCGGAAGTAAAGCCGTTGGTCCCGGCCCATGTGTGTTGAATGGGTGCGATATCCTACGCAGGTGTGGAAGCTGCCTTCCTGCACATTCGATTGCTGTCAATGGATGGCAAAAGATGTCCGTCGGTGATAGGCTCTTTTCATGCACCATCAATGCAGAGTGCGCTAGCCGATATGGAGAGGAAATGTCATCCAATCCATTTGTTTACATCATAATGACGATTTTCAAAACTCAAAATAATGTACATTTTATTGCACAACTTGCAAATTTCCATCGGGAGTGGTCTCATTTTTCGATTATCTACAGATCTGAACTGATTTACAGTTGAAATAACCACACATTAAAAATCCGGAAGGTCATAACCGCTGCGACAATTTTATAAATCTTAATTTTTCGCTTCAAAAATATATGAAAGCACCCGGCTGGTGCAAATCCTGTTCACTGCAAATCCGATACAGAAAACAAAATATTCCACGTGGATGATGATTTCAAGCACCTGCGGTGGATAAATTAATCAGGAATCAATCGCTTAGTTTCTATAGGCTGCATTACCAATGTAGAGTGCGCTATGCGATTATGAGTTCCCTCTCAAGCAAACCGTGTTAACATCAAAATTACAATTTTTACATCTCAAATTAACGCATATTGTTATGCGTATCTTGCATATTTCCATCGAGAGGGGTCTTGTTTTATTATTTTTCACATATTTGAAAGGATTTAAAGCTCAAATAACACCACATAAAAAATCCGGAAGATCATAACCGCTGGGGTAGTTTATAAATCTTCACTTTTCTTAACAAAAATATAAGGAAGCACCAGCCGGTTCACTCCAAAATCGATACAGAGAACAATATATTCCATGTGGATGATGATTACAAGCACCTGCGATGCATAAATTAATCACAAAGGGTAAATACATTTTCCTCTTCCTATGCTTTACGGCGAAAATTTCAGCCCTCATCACTCTTTTGGTGGTTCTCTTATTCACCACCAGAGGCTGAAACGATCGCTTAATTTCTATTGGATTTCGCCTATTGGTACTAGATTGCGGAACAGAGACCGAAAGAAAAAAATATTTTTCATATGGCAAATCAATGAAATTCATACCGATTTCCCGTGGCTACAATTTATAAGTGAACACAACAACAAAAAGACAGCTCAAATCGGACGATCAGTTCTTGAGTTATGCGCGGTCTTCTTATGTGTGTCACTCTGCTTTAAATGGATAGATTTCGATTTTCAACACATCAGCCCAAATTGATTTTTTGTAATTTTTGTGAGACTTCATTTTAAACATAATGCTCATTCACAGTTTAATGGGTAAGGTAGCATTGAAAATGTGTTTATTTTCAAAATGATTTGGGGTGGCACTCTTGCCCTACCTGACCAGTTTTTTTTTTGTATTTGTACTTTGTGAATTTTTTGACTTGTGGGTGAAATACGATGATACATTTTGTCACCGTATCTAAACGTTTCATAATGTGAGTACTAGCGTGGGTCAAGTTTGTATGGTGGATCACAACCCCCTGTTCCATATTGCTGTTTCGATGGGTATAGAGGTCCCAAACAACGGTGTCATATTTAAACGAATTTGGTTATGATCTGCATTTGCGAGAGAATTTTAAATTGTGTATGGAAACGAAACGAACATATTAATTTGCTTACCAAAAATTCAAATATCGCTCAAATTTCACCTATTCTCGGTAATAGATTGAGAATATTATGCAAACCAACGTTGTCGAAGCCTGCAAACCGGTCAGACTTCTGATTGTTGTTGTTGCGTCTTTATTAGGGAGACTTTCAATCCAAGGCTGGTTCGTCGCCGATTAGACTTTTGAGAAAAAAGTTATTATTATATTAGTTTTTTTTTCTTCCTTCATTTCTGTTGGTCATGTTTTCCGTACTTAGTACCAATGCTACCGACACCAGAGAGGCAGCTCGATCGCCTGGACCCACACCTATCGACCCATCAAGAATTTATGCCTCAAAAAATCCCGGCGACGCCGACTGGGATTGAACCCAGGCCTTTTGTGGGATGAGAGGTAATCACGCTTACCATTACACCACCGGCGCCGCTATACTGCCCTACTGACAGTATATACACTGTCGAAGTATATATATAGGGGAAATGTATGTAATGTCGGCCTATGTGTCCCTAATTTAGGCCCATACATAACTTCAGAAATCGACTAAATTTTCAATAGCAACCAAAAATATCCATTAGGACCGTCCCAATGACGCATTCATCTAGATACAGTTGATAAATAGCCGATTTTTAGCGATGGGCCCAATCTTAGGTTCATAGGCCAACATTTAGTGCCATTTCCCCTATATATTATAATATTATGAGCTTGTTGTAAATTATGGAACAATTGGTGAAAGATTAATAACTTTTTGTACAAAGATCAAATCGATTAGCAGTCTTCGACAGCGTTATTTTGTCCAGTGGCGCCTGTGGTGTAGTGGTAAGCGTGACTGTCTCTCACTCCGAAGGGCCTGGGTTCAATCCCAGTCGGCGCCGAAGGGATTTTCTGAGGCATAAAATCTTTGATCAGGCCTTCCTTCGGGGGAAAGGGATATAAAGCTGTTGGTCCCCGGTTCATGAGTTGATGATGAGTTGATAGGTAGGGTACTCAGTACGGAAAACCAAATCAAGGAAAAAAACCTTGTTTTGTATAGTATTCTCAATCTATGTTCGAGATTTGGTGAATTTTAAGCACTATGTGAATGTTTGGTAAACACAAATGAATAGGATCGTTCCGTTTCCCATACATTTTCCCATGCAAAATTTCAAATTCTCCCAGATTATATCAAAATTCTTTAAATTTTGCACAGTTGTTAAGGACCTTATACGCATTAAAAGAGGGGTGGGGAACAGGCGGTTGTATGCACCTACTCGGCAACTCCGAAATCGAAATTTATTTGCCATAAAACATCATCGTACAAATTATGCAAAATATGGGCCATTAAACCGCATGATGGCCTCTTACAATCAATACTGCGAAACCATTGACTTTACAATGTCTCGGCATAAACTAAAACAATATTTTTACTCCATAAGGCATTATAACTCATAAAAAATAGTAAAGCTGACACTGCTTAATTTTTATTAAAGAAAAATTATACTTTTAACCTTTTGTCCAAAGTTGACGAAATAAATAAATAAATTTAAGAAAACAAAACTGTATTCTAATATGTACTAGTCTACGTTGGTTGACGAAATAAATAAATAAATAAAGTTATGAACACTCACAA